AAGTGAGGGCGGGAAGAGGGTATGCTATGGTGTGGTGTGGTATGGATTTGCGCTAGACGCTGGGCCTTGCCCATACACCAAACACCATCGAACTCGCCACCCGACTCGCACTCAGCGGCGCTGCCGGGATCGCCTCGCTCGAGGGTGAGGCGGCCGAGGCCTCGCACGTGCTCGTGCTCGTCTTCGCACGGCCCGAACGTCCTCGGCACCTCGGTCCGCCCTCCCCTGTCCGCCTGCCCCCAGCAACCTCCGACCCCGCCTCCTCGGGCCTGGGGGTGGGACTCGGGAGGCGGCCGCGGCTCCGCCTGGGTCTCCAAGCAGTCGCGGACCTGCGGGACAACTCCGTGGGGCCGTCCTGCCTTCGAGCTGCGCGCCTTGTCGCGGTAGGACGGGACCTCCCTTGCCTTGATTCGCCGCAACTGGTCGGACCCTCCAGCCTGCCTCTGCTCGGCCCCGCGCCAGTTCACGAGGCCGTAAGCTTACCGTGCGACGAAAACGTCCCGCAGCGGAGACAGAAAACAACAAACGAAACGGGGGACGTGCGGTCAAGGACGTCAGCCTGCAACAGGTTGTGGCCTCGCCACCAGAAGCTCGCAGCTGCGTGCTCCTCCCACCCGTCACCCACCCCGTCCCCGTCCCCAGGATAAGTGGCCTCCGGCTCCCTTCGCCTTGGAACCTCGTCTGGGCCTGCCAGATTGCGCAGCTCCCAACAGGGAAAACAAGAAAAGCTTGGTGAGTGTGGTCGCCGCAGAGCACCCTGCGATCACCGCTCCACTCCCCTGCACTTTCCGTGATGCCGCCCCCCCGTAATGCAACATCTTCTCTCCTGCATGGACCACGCACGACCAGCGAAGGCAGCTTCGCACTGAAACGGTGCTGGCACGCTGCTCGATGCAGGTCGCCGTGGCAGATCTGTTCGCAGAGCTTCCTAAGATCTAAGTCGAGGAAAAAGAAATGCGCACATACACCGATCCCGGCCAGGCCCATCCCGAGCCCAGGATCGGTGCATGCGCCCTCCTGCCTTGGCCAGGAAGGCGCATGCACCGCTCCCGGGTCCAGGATGGGCCCTGCCAGGATCGGTGCATGTGCATACAGTCGGGGCCCTGAAGAAGGAAACCTTTTGGTTGGGGAGGGGCTCCGCGTTCCTTAAGTGTTTCACAGCTTGCCTCAGGCTTTCCTTATGTTTTCGACAGGGAATCGAAGGTTAACTTATGGAAAGAAGGGGCCTCGTTCCTTATTTAGGGTTCCTTAGGTCAACGCCCCGACTGTAGTTCTCCTCGCCCGACGAAGAGGACCGCGGCCGCAGAGGTCCCGAGGACCTGCCCAGCACGTGCCCACGCTTATCGTGGCCCCGCCCGGCGTTTGCACAGGTAGAGGCCGCCCCGCTGCCCCAGACGTATCAGGAGGGAAAAACACACACAGACAGAATTAATCGCCGACCCCCAGAAAATATGGGAAAATATGGGAAGTGGGGGGGAAGACAAAAACCCAGAAAATATTTGGAAACAT